GTAGATGAGATAAAATGGTGAAAGGAAGGATAGAATAACATACAGGAACCATGACTTAAGGAACAGAGGGGCAGAGTCTGAAAAGCATGGGAAGGTCAATAGCAAGGGCAGAAGAAGAAACAAGGAGGAAGAGACTATAACTGTTAAAGAACAGTTAACAGTTCTGTGGGAACCCTCAACACCTGTGATACTACGAGCCCTGCACCTCCATGTTTCTTTGTTGTCTGGAAAAGGTCTGTTATCCCCATCCAAAACTGTACAGCTCCATCTTCTCTCTGTAGCATTTTTTTTTTTTTTTTACCAAAAAAAACCCCTTTGAATTACAGTTCTGATAATAAAGAGGAAATTCAAATTACAACTCTGGTGCTGGACACACAAATTACACCTGTATCTGGGTGTCAGGGTTGAGCCTGTGCAAGTACCCAGTGCACTTGGTAATTCCCACAGTGGTCCATGAGCTCCTGAGTCATCTGCATAGATGGCGATGTACTGATCTGAGACAATAGACCCACCTGAGACCAGATAATGGAATGAACGCTTAGATGACTTCACAGTGAGGTATTTGACTAATTGCTACAGGAGCAATCATCCAGGCAGGTCCTAGGCCCTCTGACCGGCACTACTTATGTGCTTTGGTGTGTTGATTACCATCCTGGGTGCACCATCTCACTGTACAGAGATTCTCCAAGGAGGTTCCTGTTGCAGGATTGATCAAACGGAACACAGATAAGATGCTGGTCTGTAGGACCTGTTCCTGCAGAGTCAGGGATGGTCACACAGAACAGTCTTTTGTAACAATGTGTACTGGGTTTGGCTGTGATAGAGTTAATTTTCTTCATAGTAGCTTGTATGGTGCTGTGTTTTGGATCTGCGACCAAAACAATGTTGATAACACAGGGATTTTTAGTTATTGCTGAAAAGTGTTTAAACAGCATCAGACTGCCCCACCAGCAAGGAAGCTGGGGTTGCACAAGGAGTTGGGAGGAGACACAGCTGAGACAGCTGAGCCCAACTGACCAAAGGGGTATTCCTGACCAAAACAATGTTGATAACACAAAAAAACCTGCAGGGAAGAAGGAGGAAGTGGGGAACATTCAGAGTTACGGCATTTGTCTTTCCCAGCAAGCATTATGCGCCATGGAGCCCTGCTTTCCTCAAAATGGCTAAACATCTGCCTGATGATGGGAAGCAGTGAATAAATTCCTTATTTCCCCTTGCTTGAGCCCACGGCTTTTGCTTTACCTATTAAACTGTCTTTATCTCAACCCACAAGTTTTCTTACTTTTACCCTCCTGATTCTCCCTCCCTTCCCACCACAGGTGAGTGAGCAAACGGCTGTGAGGGACAGTTGCTGGCCGGAGTTAAACTACAAAAATAGTCAAAGTAGTTTTGCTGTGTTTTGCAAAAAGTTCAAGATATTCAGTAACATAGGATCATGCATGAGCTGCAGTGGTCTCATAGGACCACAGGCCTTCTCGATACAGGAATTCAGCAGAATGGTGATTTGGGGAATCCCATCAGATGTAGATGAGGTTGAATCCACTCTTGTGGATTACTGCTTGATACTTGTATACTCCTGGTCTCAATCCCGAATTGAGGCATTAAAGACCTGATCTGTTGAGGTGCTGAGCATGCTCCATTGTATGAAATTTCAGTAGGAGCTTTTTATTGACACATACAGTATCCGATATTCTGAAAACTCAAGTCATAGTTTTTTTAGGGTTTTCTAGGACACGGAAGACTGATGTATTTGATAGCTTTGAGGTATATAATAGTGCATACATTATAATTATTGATTGATCAAGACAATTGCACAGTTCTGATAGGAAGACATGTTTCTGCTGAGTAGTTCCTGAGGATTAGATTCTGTGTCTGACATTGGAAAAAGAAAACATTTTGTGATCCTGAAATGAATAAGTGCCTCATACCCACATGAGCTCGAATGGGATTACACAAACAGTGTTAACAAATACATTTCTTACCTTTTTTGGTCATCAGTTTGTACCCTTGACATTCATTTATGGAGGAGCTTTTTGGTTTGGTTTTGGACAACTTTTTGGTAACTCAAAAACCATTTATGAATACATTTTTTATTCAAATTTATCCACTGTTTCCTTAGGCATCCCAAAATTTTTGTAGGCACCCACATGTTTAAAGGTCTGGATTTATTCAAGAACCTACCCTGGTCTATGGATCATTTCCTACTCAGTTTCCTTTGTACATGCTCAAGTCTTAATCACTGAGGGAGCTCCTAGAAGCAAACTGGTATCCTGTTTTCCACAGTGACTTTTTTTAATGAGACTTTCAATTTTTAAAAACTATGTGGCAGGAGGTTTTTGTTTTTCCTACTTTTTCTTTTTCAGAGTCTGGATTCACTTTTATCCCCTAGGACTAGTATGGAGACTTGAAATTAATTTTTTAAAAAAAAGATTCGAACAACCATAATGATATCATAATATCATAATTACAGTTGATCATTAAAATATCATTATTTCCATCTTGGGTTTAATTTGTGTTGGTGACTGAGAGAAGTGTCCTTTCTTAATTTTTGTCCTTGTCCTTGAAATGTGATACCCATGATAGACAGCAGTGGAGAAACATTGGCATTCAGTAGCTGATAGTCCTGTCCTCCTTTTACGTATTCATCTTGTGTATGACTCTATTTCCATCTTTTGAAAGGACTTGTTCTTCTGCAATTTAAGCAGAGGCAGTGCCGTTTCATAAAGTATGTTTGCCTCTCTTTTCCAAGAACTGACAGTGGCATATAATCCAGTGCTGATTTATGTTAGATTTATGCAGAAAAATACTTTTGCATACTTCTTGAATAATTGTGTATACAATTATTAATCTTCTGGCTTTTACAACCTTTACAAAAGATTGATTTTTGGCCATTCCCGCTTCAGCTGGGTTTAGCCTTAGCCATGATGTAAACAGCCTGTGACCTGACAGAATATTAATCTATTCACCAGACTACTCCCTTGGGCTGAATGATTCTTTCAGTCTTAAGAACAAAACAAGTCTCCAATGTTTTGTTTAGTAAATCACTTAACAGGAGGTCACAATGAATGCATGTCCAGGTTAAATGATATTTATTATTAAGTAAGTATAGACAAGCCCTCATGTACACATTCCTAATTTGGGTGAAGAACACTTGCCATCAGGAGTCACTGCATGCATAATGGGGATCTTCCACATGAAGTTATTTCCCTTCTTTAAATGCAGGGGTTTGCAAAGACTGGTAGGTTTTTAGGGCATGATACTCTTGACATATGGATTTGCATAGCTCTGTGTAAGCTTAGATCAGAGAGGGGATTCATTCTCAGCTAATTTCACAAAGTGAAAAGTATCTTGTTTATAGAAGGTGTAGCTCTGAATGCTTTTATATTTATAAAAATTAATATTTTAAAATAAGATAATTTTGCCTGATGTAATTCATCTTGATATCAGAGCACTACACACAGAGGTCTAATTAACAAGTGTCAGTGTCTTGTTTTCAGCCATCAGGCTCCTTTAACAGTGGGTACTTAAGTATTCATCAATTTATCCTGACAGAAAGGGAAATATTGTCTCCCTTTTAAAGCTGGAGATACAGGCACAAGATAAGGGCGTGTCAAAATCGAAGAAAGGGAATTCAGATGTGTGTGCATTTTCCCATGAACAGAGAATAATAAATAGTCTCATCTGCCAAGGTTTGGAATGAAGACCAATTTAAATAGCAGTACAATTCAGACAGCACTAATAAAGGTGTTAATTAGATTAGTTTGGTAGTAAAATACCTGTAAAAGTCTTTGTCAATATTTTTTTTTAACAAATTATGTAAATCTAAACCCATGAATTAAGACATTAGAAAAAGGTAGCAGATTAAAAAACAAAAAAAAAAAACCAAAACAACAATCCCAGAAAACCAAACCAACCCCCCCCAAAAAACCCCAAAGAATAGAAAAACCTCACCATTGCAGGGTGTGATTGCTTTCTAGGTAATTGCTGTTGATGTCTTTTTGGCAACAACAAGCTCGAGGAGAGATGTCCCCTTTTTTTCTCTCCCAGATATGAGCTTGGTTAAGGTACAGCAAAACAGCTTGTCACAAAGTAAGCAATTTTGCCCCCAGAAATGATGGATTTTGTTCCAATTCTTGTCAGAAAATGATAAAACTTGAAAAAAACATGACCAACTGTGTCAGCTGCCCTGCTCAGATTCTTCCTCAGTGCATCGTAATAACAACTCAGCTACTGCTTGCATATTGTTTCTTCCCTTATATCTCCACTGACACCTTCAGGGCTTCACCTCTGCAGCTGTTAACATAAAGAAGTGAGGAATGACCTCAGAAAGCAATGTAAAGAGGCAGAGAAACAGTCCTGTGCAGTCTTCAGGGTACTCAGTAGCTAAGCAGCTGGTGTCAGCCTGTGTTTTTCATCTTTTCCTTTCCACAGAGCTCCCTTATCTTTTGTTGATTTCTTCTTCCTCTTTCCCATCAAGCTCTCTCTTTCTATTTGATAAGACCTTGATCCACCACATATGCATTTGCTTGATTGTCAAGCACTCCTAGTTCCCAATAACTTACACCAGGAACGTGTTCTCATGTTTGTCTATGAAATGAGGCATCTTTCTCTCAATTTTCCCTCACTTTGTCTATCTATCTTCCTTGTATTTCCTTTTTATTATTTTTCTAGCTTTTGTCTTTAATTCTTCATTTTTCTCCCATACACTAGTACTGGACATGCTTCTTTTCCCTCATGATCTGCTTTTCTGACCTACTGGAGAGTCCTGAGGTTTGTCCTGATATCTTTATTTCTTTGTTATCCTTTTCTTGTACTAACTCTGTGACAGAAGTTTATGTGACCACACTACATAACGGTATCTTTTAATCCATCTTCCCTGATCAGGTTGCATTTGTGCAGAGTGCAGAAAAGAAGGGGGCTTCATGGTTTGATTTACAGGTCAGTCCTGAATCTTCATGAAGAAGTACGTTTATCACTCTTCTTTTCTACACAAGATTTAGTATGCTGTAAACCAATCCCTACACCTCAGGGCTGAAGTATTAGTTTTAGGAACAAAACGTTATTAAATACACACACATGGAGTTTTACTAAAATTTCCTTTCAAAATACGTTTTTCATTTTTAATTTCATTTTTGCATTTTTCCCATTAAAATACGCATAAGTATCATAACTATAGAAAAAAAATAAATAAACCAAATATCAGAAATTGTATTTAGGTTGTATTGAGCTTGGGTTCTTTGACTATCTTTCTATTCAATATTTAAAAGAGGTTTTTTTGTTGTTGGTTTTTGATCCTTGGAATGTATGTCTGTGAACTGGAGTGCAGGAATTTTTCACTGAAAGGGTTGTTAAGCATTTAGACAGGCTGCCCAGGGAAGTGGTTGAGTCCCCATCCCTGGAGGTATTTAAAAGACAGGTAGACGGGGTGCTTAGGGACATGGTTTAGTGGTGGGATAGCAGTGTTAGGTTAACAGTTGGACTTGATGATCTTAAAGGTCTTTTCCAACCTAAATGATTCTATGATTCAGTTCTATGATTCTATGATTTAAATACAGAAACGGGGTGGAAGTGGCAGAGCTTATCAAAAGAAATATTTTAGTTCTAACAGAATGGCCCAGAGAAGCAAAAGAAATATCATCTTTGTTTCTGTGAAATTCCTCATCCCAAGCACTCTTTAGAGTTGATCGCATCCCAGAATAGCCTTTCTTATGGAACAGTGATTTGGTTCCTGTGCTTCAACTCTCCTTGTCCAAACAACTCATCACTGTAACTTCTGCCTAGCTTTTTTTTTTTTTTTTTTTTTGCTGTGAATATTTTTCAGGTTGCAATTCTGAGTTATACATGGAGCATGTTGAGGTGGACTGTGCAGAAAATGACAGGTGCAAGCTCATAGAATGGTATTTAGACAAACTACTTTCTACTTGTGACTTATTCCTTTTGGCTGGATATCAGCCTTCAGAGAACTTTGACAATACAAAATATCAAATGCTCATGTAATATTATGCAATTAAAACTTTGGGACTCATCCTCTAGAGTATGACCTGGGATTTGGGATCCTTAAAAAATAAAGCTTCTTTTGAGATGTCTGTATTTTAAAAATTTCACATTAAGTAGTCATCATCTTTTCAAAAGGAATCCACCATATATTACCTGCCTTCAGCAGCATCAGTCAATATCAAATGCACCAGATATTCATACAGGAGCAGACCTCACCTGAAGGATCATAAAATAGTCTATCTTATCTAGCCAATGAAAATCATGGTACTTGCCAATCATTGTTCATAATGCCTGCCTTCTAAAACAATTGTTAAGATAAGAACACATAAATATTTTCATAAATTGTATAGCTTGCTTTTATCACCTGCTTGAAGGTACCTCTGAAAGGCTTCGGGCATATAGAAAACCTAGACTGTCAAAATACATTTCCTCTCCTAAAAAAAAAAAATAACGCTGATTTACAGAAGCTTAAAAGAAACTTGGTAGTAAACACTACATTGAGCAATAATCTCCTTGTCCTGAAGTACCAAGTGATCACTTAGCAACAGCAATTCAAAGAGCAAAGAGATACATTTTTAATATTTTTCATATTTTCTCATGTTTTTCAATCAAAGTAGTTATTAATCTATCCCTACTCTTTACAGTAATAATAGCTGTCTTATCCTTCTCCCCCATGGCTGGTCTCACAGAACAAGCTCTATTTAGCCACTGCATGTGGAAAACCAGATTAATTTGTAACTGAAAATGCAGGTATTTAGTACCACATAATTTTTAGACCCTCATGAAAACATAACTGTGTTTTCCTTTGAGTAATATCTGTGTTTCATTAATGCTGTTGCTCAAATGATTTAAGCAAGGCTTCTGCCAACAGAAGGTTCACAGAGGTGGTACAGAAACCTTTTCTAACCTCAGGTTAGTGAGTTCCTCAGATGAACTTCCTTCTGCATCTTTCAGACTCTTGATGACAAGCAGAGATTCAGAGAAAAAAAATAAAATATGTGGACCCTTGTCAAAAGGTCGTGACTTGTGTATTGCTCTAGGAATAAGCCAAGTCTTTGTGTATGGCTAGAGGTCAAAAAGAGTACATGGTCCCTGTCAAATAGGATGAAATGAAAAGGCTTCTGAAACCAGCATTTCCATGCCATGACAGATGTTTGAATCACCACACTGGGTACCTAGAACTGCTTCCCATCAAATTGTTGGAAACTGCTTAAATTAACTGAACATTTTGCACAGCCAGACTTTTTAGTGAGTAGCTAACCAGCCAACCAGGGCTAGTGTAATACCAGTTCATTAATAAGTACACCTATGAACTGCAGCAAAAGTACTTATTTGTCCCTAATTCTAGGCTCTAGGCACAAGGAGATTTAGGCTGTTTTCAGAACTTTATAATGAGAGTCATGGTCATTGTTCTTATTTCAATTTCTATACGTTTTCAACTCTTCCTTGTGTTATCTGACAGATTCTTCTGCCATCATGGGTTCAACACTAGATAAACACATTATTTGTTTAACCTATATAATCTCAGCCTGATGGCTTTGCATACTTAAAAAAAAGACACCAAAACCCACCACCCCACCACCCCCCCAAAAAAAAACCAAAGCAAAGCAAAATTAAATAAAATCAGAACAGGTAGCATAGAATAAACACACTGATTTCCCCTATTTCTGTGTCCCTGAATAGGTTGCCAACTATCTCATGAAGCTCTGCGTATATCAAGGGGAATGCAATGGAATATTACAAGCTGGTTTCCCAGCCACTACCAACCAGTAAAGTGTCATGGATTGAACTACACTTATCCTAAGTGCTGTAGAGAAGTCTTCATGCCCTCTAATCAGAATGATAAACCTGCTTAACAATACAGCATGATTAAATTTTATAAAATCGTCTTATTGTTTAGCCTAAAATGTAGAAAGGTGTCTGCCTAGAAACAAAGCCTGCATATAAATCACATTAATCCCAATTAGAGCAGTCAAGATGATTCAGGGAAAGGTAAGGGACAGAGATGCCTCCAGTGAGGGAGACCAGACACAGCACAAAAAAGCCTCAAGGCTTCAGAGAGGGGAGCCACTGAGACTATTGTGACATTCTTGCCAGACACCCGACCTTCACAAGACCTGATGGAGACCCCTCATCAGATCCACCAGAAGATTGCTAGGCTCTTGCCTAGAAGGCTTAGACCAGACGATCCTTGAGGTCCCTTCCAACCTGGTGCTCTATGATTATGATTCTATGATTCAATGGTTGCTGAACCTAACAGTGGACAGTACTACAGCAGAGAAATAGGGAATTACACCCCTCAGAGAGGGGACATGTTTATGAGCACATGTGTGTGCATGCTTATGTGTAAAACACTGTATACTGTGTCTCAAGGAGACAGATGTACTTACATTATATGCAAATCCTTGATTTATTTTCCAGTTCTGCAATGCCTCCACTGCCCTTACCCACTTTTGTCAGAGGGAATTAAAAGTTGTGTAACTGAAATTTTGAAGGTGCCTTCAGAGCTTGTATTTCCCACCCTGCGACAAGTGCCATCTGTTGACAATCTGCCCCGCTAATTCCTCCATAATTTAAAACAGAATTGTACAAAAATATTAGTTTTCCTAAAGCCTGCAATTTTTATCTGTGAAAAGAGAAAATCCTTATTGGATTCTAAGGCCTTATGTTGTTATCCAATGCCTTTTGTAGCCTCTAAAACAAGGAAAAAAAAGGACAAGTCCTATCTCCAAGGAACAGCACAGAGGATACCTCTTCTGAGGCAGGTGGCATCACAGTACAAAATGAGATTTTATATATCACCTTTGCCTACTGAAGAAGATAATGACTTTGCCCTTTTAATAGAACAGCAGATGAAGGTCATCCAATACACGTGCTATACACAACATGCAAAGTCTTATTGTCAATCATCAAGTGTCTTTCCTGGAGACCTTTTATTATGCCCAAGTTGAAAGACAAGAGAAAATGCCACTTAATTTCAGTAGCTGGCATGATTTTTCATACACTGCCCACTCTTTGATCTCAGGTATACTTTATGCAGTAATCTGTCATCCTAAAATTCTAGGAGGTCTCCTGTGTCATTGAGACTGGATGGTAATTTCTCTAGTATATGAATACTTAATGTTGAGATCCTGATGTTACAAACATTTAAAAAATTATAGTGGATAACAGAAACAAACAAACAAACAAAAAACCCCAACCAAAATCAACCAACAAAAAACCCCATGTCTGCCTTTTTTTTTCAGTTCAGTTGAGTGTAACAGCTCAATGTCCTCAGATGATGCAAATCAATGACCCATAAGTTTGCCTTTTTTTTCAGTTCAGTTGAGTGTAACACAGCTCAATGTCCTCAGATGATGCAAATCAATGCAGTCCCACTGAATTCGATGAAACTGTGCTTATTCACACCAACTAGTTACAGCAAACAGGTTTTAAAAGAAAGAAGTAAGCAGCCTTGAATGACTCAGAATTGACTTCCACTGTTCAACTTGACCATCCTAGTGCTGTCAAGGGAATATCAAAAGCTCTCAAAGCCAGCAGGCACTATGAGACCTAATAAGAGAAACTTTTCTACAATATTTCCTAATATTAATGCAAACACTATCTCAATGCTGGGACAAAGGTATGCTGTAATCATGCTGCTCATGGCAAAACAATTACTCCAAAGGGAACGCAGACAATGCTGGTTTATCAGATATTAATAAAATCTGGCTAAGCAAGGACATTTTATGCAGTCTCCAACTGATTTTGTATGCTTCCTTATGCATCCAGAATTACTAGACTCATGAGAAATTGTGTCCACATGGTCCATTGAATGGTGCTAGCTGCCTTAGGAAAATTCAGTTAAAGCCCAGTAAAATATACATGCACACAAACGGGGAAAGTATCAGAGGAAAAGCTAATGTTTCACTACACAAGAATTCTGTAGCAAGCCACGTTGCTGTTAGATAAAAATAATGGAAAGAAAAGAGGTTAAATGAAAATATTACCTTTCTCTTTGATTTTATGATGTCTGATTCAGTAGCTATACACTAGAAAGATGTGCTGGAATGGGTTCTTTAGGCACCGTTAGCCCATCAATACTTAGTTTTGTGTAGAAAAATGTTGAAAGCACCCAGTGTGAAAGCACTAGCAAAAATAGATGTTTTAAGTAATCCAGATCCATTTGTGGATCAGGCCCTTTCTTCCTCTCTGTCCATGCAGTATGTTATTATCTCTTCAAGCCTGATTTCTGTTATTAACACATTTTTTTGCAGCTCATTTTAAAACACATTTAAAGTACTTTTCTTTTTTTATCCAAGGTTTATCATCCATGGATAATTGATTACAGATGACTAGAAAGACCATTACTGATTTTGCTGAAGAGTAAATGAGCAGTTATGATTTCTGAAACTTCAAACTCAAGGACACAATGTCACACAATGTCTCAATTGTTGTATGAGGACAGGCACCTGAAACACAACTTACTTCACATAAACTACAGGTCCGTCAGATCCTGATCTTGAAAGATTATGTGTTGTGATGGCCACAATTCACTCAAAAGTGTGGGGAGCTCATGATTTTAGATTTGGAGTTCAGATACTCCTGTCAGCCAACAAAGTTGCATGCAGTACATGGCTCAGTCAGATGAATTGCATCTTTTTATGTACTGGATATCTAAGTGCTGGCAGGCTAGGGGCCTGAGACTGGCAGTGTGATAGAGAAATGAGAACTATTTTAATCATAGCATTTGAACAATAACAAACTAGAGTGGGTGGCAAAGTTCTGTGAGTACTATATGTTTGCAAATTAAGAGCATAAGCTCTGAGCCCACATCTGTTTTAGTGCCTAAGGCATTTTTCTAAACTCAATGCTCTGCAGAAGTGATCCTGTCTGGAAATAAGATCTTCTGAAACAATGTTTTTTCACAGTAAATAAAAATGTATCTTCATCTCCATGCACCCTCTCCAGAGCATCATGTGGATTTGTTGTCTCACAGGTCTTTGTGTCTAGCAACTGTTTGTTCCGCTCACAGTGGGGTACTCATACAGGAAGCCCTTATCACTTCCCAGCCAGAATCTGAATTTGCTAAGCCATTATAGAAGAAATTTAAAGCTTTCACCCTTCTTCTTGTCTGTATCCGATTTGGTTTATATAATTAAAAAAAAAATATCAAAAAACCAAAAAAGAACCCCAACCCTGCACTAAGTGAGTAGAATTGAGAATGTGATTACTTCTATTTTCTGTTTCATTCTCATGCAAATGAGGAGGCTTAAGTTTCAGCAGTTACTAGAGTATTGCTGTTTAATCACCAATTTTATTTACTGAGAATGACAACAGTTTGTGAGAATGATGCAGAGGCAGGAAGGATAGAGGAGAAATGGGACAGTCAGGGTTTCTGTCTCACAAGCACGCATTCTGAATGTTAGCAAGTTAAGACTGAAGTAAGACTTTTCCTAAATATCTTCTTCTCTCCCTTTCTTTTCTCCACACTGTGATGATTCTCTTAGGTGATCAGGACAAGTCAGTCATGTTCAAATGAGAAACCACAGCCACACATTCCAAAGCACATGTTTTCTGCCCATCTTGATGTTTATCCATTTCATAACCCAGTCATTAAAGGGAGATCATTTTCATGAAATAAGACACAGTTCTAACTATGGCATATGAGTAAACATCTTGCAATAAACATTTATAAATCTTTTCTCCCTATAATTAATGCATTCTGACACCTTTTGAAACACAGAAAAACGAAGGCTTATATGTTAAACTTGAAGTGTTTGCGTTTTGTTTTCCTTTAGCAATTGGCTCAGAGATTGTGGCAATATTATATATAATCTTTAATACTGATATACTGACAGCTGTAGTTTAATTTATGTAATATCCAATAATACTGGAAAAATCAGAATGTGATTTGGTTCATTTTTTAGCTCCAGAAAAGTTCATATTCCATGATGCACCGTAGCTGGAATGACATTTTATTAAAACAGTTGTTGAGCCCTGAGGAGCCTGACAGTAACAAAGAAGTGAATAAAGAGGTCATGAATTTTTCGTAGAGATGAAATCAACCTGTAGTGTTCATGAATAATTCACTGAATTTTGAAAGGCAAACCTTGGGAAACATCTCATCAAAGCACCCTTAAGATGAATTGTCATGAACACTTACTTACCTACTGGCCTTGAAAAACCAGCATGATCTTGTTTCAAACATATGTATGGGATCTTTCTTACAATACTGCCTGAGTCTTGGGTTGTTAGATACCTCTTGCCTTCAAGTTTCACCTTAAGATTCACTTCTGCTATGGATCGTACCAAATACTTGGTAGTGGAAAGACAGGTGAAATGTGAGAAACAAACAGCTAAAACATAAGACCTCTGGATCATCTGCACCCCAGAGAAATAGATGGGGTTGCCTAAGTCATCCAAAATACAATAAAAAGTCTGTTTAGGCAACTAGTGAAGTTTAATCTATAGAGCCAATGATATCTGGAAAGCAATCCAGAGTAGAAGCCTGTATCTGGTCAGCTGTGTAGCTCTCTGGACAGCTTGACTGTTTATTACACCAGTAAGTGTTGCTAGACTATCTTCTTCAGCTATTATATCCAACTGTTTCTATATCTTACACTGTAATTTCACTGAACCTTGCCTACTAAATTGAGGTTCTCAGCTACAAAACTGTGGCACTTAGTAGAAAAATAAGGCAGAAAGCTACCTCCACAGGCTGAAAGATCTCACTTATCCCTGCAACACTTTCTGCTGGTGTTTCCTACTCTCTCCAATGACTGCTGAATAAGGCTTAAATTTTGCATGAATGCACATAAGCAGCATGCATCCAGGCCTCAAGTCTTTGGTGCAAGTTTCTTCTTTTATTTTACATATAGAAATCTTTCCACACAATGGGACTTTGATTCATGATTGAGCTGTTCTTGTCCTGGGTCATTAACAGGAGCAATAACCGTTCTGATCTTAATCACCTAAGTTGGGGTGGATCTTGGGGACAGTGAGGTCTATCTCCACCAGAGCCTTGCTGAAATGTTTGTTTGGCACTCTGTCTTAGTTATCATGTGCAACAAATTTCCAAAGCTGTATTTAATTTTTTTTTTAAGTAAATGTTTAACATGCCGCAGAGTTCTCAAGTACATGGTGGTGCCATGTTTGTGCCTGGACTGTGCCCAGGTAAGCCTGTGGAGGTGACAACTGATACCCATCCCAAAGAACTGGTGTCTTAGTTGGTTTTTGCAGCAATCTGGGCATCACAATACACAGGTAGTACCTGAAAATTAACAAAAGCTGTCAGCGGTGATTTTCTTGGTTATTCCTAAACTCACCTGTGCCAAACAGGCCTCTGTCAGCTTGGGCTAAAAGTGAAAAGAGGAACATCAGAGAAAATTAGAAGGTCCTGACACCTTGACAGTCCTGTGAATTTGTTCAGGAAGCAGTTGATAAATATTTGCCATACAAATGTGTGCTTCGGTGGTAGTTCTTTTTTAGTACAATATCTTTTGTATGATGTTGCTCTCTTAGACCTCTGTTGCATTTCACAGGAGTGTGCATGCAAAATTCTCTTTACAGATCCCTAACAGCAAAAAAGCATTAGAACTGTTGCTTGTCTAAGCCATTGCGCATGAATAGTATTTGAATGTATTTAGACCTACCCTATCTTGTATTATCACCCCTTCAGTGCTCATGGTATTTATCATATATATAGAAATACAATAAAAGATCAAAATATCAGCCAAGAAATCACAGTAATCTCGGAAGAGGAAGGGAAAGGGAAAAGGGAAGAGGAAAGGAGGGGAGGGGAGTTCAGTGCTCTCCCCTACTGAGTGGTTCCACAGACCTTACAATAAGTAGGACCAAGAAAAGTTCCCTCTTTCTTCAGCTACCACCAAACTTTCCATCCCTTGACCTATTTTTGACTGCACCATCAGGCTTTCCAGAATTACAACAGCCCCTCATCTGCCTTGTTGATCTGCAAGGCAGGAGGTTTTCATGCCCCTCCAAAGAAAAAATAGTTGTCATTCCCAGGTGGGCGACAGCTTGGAGGCAACTAGGCCACCTGAATCACCCATTCTGTGGGAAGGTGGAGCAGAGTTAATGGGGTGCCAACATCATGATGGAACACAGGCCTTACCCCCACTGCAAAATAGAGGTGAGGCTGGGAATGATGCTCGGAAGGATCATTGCTTTTCCATCATCTCCACTCTCTGAGGGATGTGTGTTTCAGCTTACAGTGATATGACAATTTTGAAAAATGGCTGGAGTTGAATCCCAACTCATCAGGTGTTTTTATTATTCTGTGCAGGTTCTATGGTGCTCACGACTTCTTTAATAATCGTTAAATGAAAACAAAACTTTAAAATCTTACAAATCCTGATATTTACCTCATTAAAAAAAGACTTCTAAATGTTGTAATTTTGCAGCTATGCTGGACCATGAAGAAAAATATGTTCAGATTGGGGCTTAAACTTTGGTATCTGCATCCACAGAATAAAACAAGATTGCTTTTGAGCCTTCAAAGTTCCTTGCTGTAGCTGACCGTTAAAAATAAAATAAAGACAGAAACCCACCTTTTATTTAGACACATATATGACCTGGAATTCATAGTAATTTCACCAGCAGCAGTCAGACAGTTCAGGAATGAGGATAAAAATAAAATTAAGCACTAATTTTATTTCTAGTGTCAAAGACTAGAGAGCAATGTGTTTTCTGTTTAGCTGCAGCATGTCAAAAAAAGACTGCATTAAAAGAAATATTTTTTACTAGGTTCTACATGTATGCAACTTGCTAGACAGCTAGAAAGGATCATCAAATAAAAGAAAGGAAGATATAAGCAAGAGATTTGGTTCCCATTCAAACAGAAATGAAGATATTTTAATTTTCCAATAATTCCATATTTTATCTGTGAGGGCCAGGCCAAGTTCAAGAGTGCACTGTTATATGGTTGACCAAAGCACAAAGTTAGGTTTAGACAGGTGATTGCAAGAATATCTTAACTTCCCTTTCTCTCTTTTTGATTATTTTCACCAGAAAAAAAGTGATTCACTGGTCTGTATTATTTTTTTAGTGTTCCCAAATCAGAGATCATTCATTTGTTTGTCCCTTGAGCTTCATCAAATCCACAAGCCACTCGTTCTGCTGATCTTGCAGCATGATGTAGTGTCCTAATAAAACTTGTTTTATTTTTCTTACGTCCACATTCTAAAAAACTCTTAAATGCTTACACTGCTCAAAGAGACACCGTCAAGGCATGCAAGCCACTAAGTATTTAAAAGCAACTTTGCAGCGAGAGGGTGGTAGTACCCATTCCCAGGCACCAAGCTTGAGATAAAAACTGAAAACCATGTACTCTAGTTACATGCTGCCTGCAGGTGCTCAACAAGGGATAAATTTAATGTACCTAAATCCTCTCCATATCACCGAAATATCTAACAAATCCTGGCCTGCTCCAGCAAACACCTCCGAGAAAAGAAGCCTCAAAGTCAATGTGCTTCTATTTTAAGTAGTTTAACCGGGACACTAGATAATCTGCTGGTTTCAGCTGGGATAGAGTTAATTTTCTTCCCAGTAGCTGGAACAGTTCTGTGTTTTGGATATAGTATGATAATAATATTGATAACATACTAATGTTTTAGTTGTTGCTAAGCAGTCAAGGCCTTTTCAGCTTCTCATACTGGCCTGACAACAAGAAGGCTGGAGGTGCACGAGAAACTGGGAGGGGTCACAGCCAGGACAGCTGACCCCAACTGGCCAAAGGATATTCCATACCATGTGACATCATGCTCAGCATATAAACTGGGGGGAATTGACCAGGAGCAGCCACTGCTCAGGGACAGGAGGGGCATCAGTCAGTTGGTAGTGAGCAATTGTTTTTCATTTGCATCACTTGTCTTTCTTGGGGTTTATTTCTGTTATTTTCCTTTTAATGTTATTATTATTGCTGTTGTTTTTGTGATTATTGTTTATATTTCAACTATTAAACTATTCTTATCTCAACCCACAATCCTTCTCACTTTTATGAATCTCTTCCCATTCCACCAGGGTGGAGGGGTATGGGTGAGCAGTTGTGTTGTGCTTAGTTGCCAGCTGGGGCTGAACCACAACACCTACCTTGAG